TTACGAATGAGTCCCCAAACCATAGAAGTTGCATTTTGTGCAGTGAGTAGTGATAGGGACACCTTAAAAAAGGTGGAAAGACACGTCCGCAAAACCTGCCTACCTTTGTTTTCAGCAAAATGGTGGTTTACAGCAACAATTTAAGTCTCTTTTTATTGCTAGTGTAAATACTTTTTGATTTGAAACAACTAATTAGTGTACTACCAGTGTGATTGATTTGATAAAAAGTTCTAGTGAAAAAAATGAATATGTTCCTCGTTCCTCGTTGTACCTACCTACATCGCCGGTCTCGTAAGTACTGTCTAATACCTAGTTATAAATTATTATTAACTTTTTAGGTATTTTTCTCTGCTAATGAGAAGATAACACTTGTTCTTTATTTAAATAAATCTGTTATTGTAATATGGCATCTAAGGCCAGTATGAATAGAACGCTCTCAACTCTGAGAGCGATCTTGAGATGCTGTTTTGTATGAACATAGTATCTCAAGGTAGTAGTCTCAGAATTGAGAGCGATCTATTCCGTATTAATTGCCTTTGACGATTTTACTGTACTGTATAGTAGAGCGTCAGCTGTGCGCGGTAGGTACCTACACAGGCGGCCGGCGTCCGTCGACCTCGCCTGGCCGCATCCACTATTTTATTCGTTTATTTTAGTAGTGCTTATTTATTTGTTATATTTCACATACTATGAATACGTGTTTAAAAATAATTATTACTCAAAAGAGGAAAGGACACAAAAATGCGCAATTAAAAAAAATAAAAAACGAATAAAATAATTATAAAAAAATCCGAAAAAAATCAGGGATACTCTATACACATAACCCAACAATCTCACGAAGTTTCATTGAATCATTCAATTTCACCCTGTATATATATTATGTATGTACATATACATATTTCATTTACTAGCTTTAAGAGAAAGAGAGAAAGAAAATGTGCGCGCAGTGCTTTCTCTTGCTTATATCCCCCACTCAACTCCCGTTCGCCTGCACTGAACACACTTTTCGTAACGCGTAACACATTCATCAGCTTACCCCCTAAGTCACGCGTACATAAAGAAGTTTCACTTCAAAAATGAACAGTTGAATGTTTGGTATGGATTATGAACCACTTCGATTTGTGCAGTCTAGTGGATAAATGATTTTTGTAGAAATATTCATAAACTTGGGCATAAGTGCTTATTTTCACCATACAATCATTTCCCTAAGGGGTTTGAACTCACAACCTCAGAGTCGGCATCGACGCCTTGAAAATTATGGAATTTATGTATCTTTTTTAATTTGAAAGTAAAAAGATTGATTGATTTTTGAATATAATAAACGAAGAACTGTACCCCTAGCACGAACCAATATCGAATTCGTATCATTTGCGAGTCCGAAATGTCATTGTCAAATGTGTACTGATTTTTAGTTCTCGTTACGTACTTTGTGCCGCTGCTGTTCAAGTTTCCATACAAAATTTGACATTGACATTTCTGTTTGCAAACTATTCGAATTCAATAATGGTTCGTGCTAGGGTATTGTATCGTTTTTTTTCGTGATTTCGTGCTCTAGACCATAGATCACTCAAATCACAGATTAGAGATGATCACTGATAGATAGGTACAGATTGGAGAATTTCCCCTAAATTTAGGGGGGTCTTGATGTGGTGGGGGTCATATGGGAATGTAGACACAGAAACTATATTTTTGGTGTATAAATTGGAAGATTTTTATAAAATAAAGAAATCAGTGCCTTTTTCTAACACAGTAGTTGAATAAGCAATCTAAATAGAAAACAAATCAATATGTTGGAAAGATTTATTTAAGACCTTATGCGGGGCCTTACTTGGCCATTCGTATTTGCTGTATTTTGTTAACTTCACAACAGTCTGTCCTTATTAGACATTATATGATATGAAAAGAACAGACTGATCTCAGGTTTACAAATAACAAATATGAACTACCAAGTGAAGTACCGGCAATAACAATAGCTTATTTCAAATATTAAGCCTTGCACTATGATGCGATTTTGACTTGCTCTCAGCCGATTTCCTTTTGGGGGTACTTTGTTTGTAACGTGTTTGTTCAAGAAACTAACTACATATGGTGATTATTTGTCAAACATCATAAAAAGTCAAATATAGAGGGGGAATGAGAGATAGTTATCTGGCAACACTGCATCCAAATTCCTTCTTTTGGAGTTTTTGGCGGGATTTCATCGAGTGCGCTTGGCGTCTTATTTTAATTATTCTTAAATTCGTTCATAGTGGATCTTTTGAAATAAAATTGGTGTGATTTTGTGTTACAACCATCTGCGCAACTGAAGAATTAGTGGAATCTTTAAAATATACGCTATTCCGATCAAGTGGTCTTGAGTCAAGTCAGATTCAGATTCAGACTCAGAAAACAAGCGCGAGAAATAAACAGTGTAGTTAAAGCAGGGTAACCATAGTGGCAGCAGGCAACCTGTTTAAACTACACTGTATATTTCTCGCGCTTGTTTTCTGAGTCTGAATCTGAGTGCACTCTCGCCGTACAGGTACCCTTTGGTACGAAATCACAGACCAATAAGAGAACAAGTTCACGAAATGTATCGAGTTGGTTTTTCCGATAAGCTTCTGTGAGGTAGTCAACACTACAATAAAGTTCTCAAGACCACTTGACCTAAATAGCTTATATTTTAAAGATTCCATTAATTCTTCAGTTGCGCAGATGGTTGTAACACAAAATCACACCAATTTTATTTCAAAATATCCGCTATGAACGAATTTAAGAATAATTAAAATAAGACGCCAAGCGCACTCGATGAAATCCCGCCAAAAACTCCAAAAGAAGGAATTTGGATGCAGTGTTGCCAGATAACTATCTCTCATTCCCCCTCTATATTTGACTTTTTATGATGTTTGACAAATAATCACCATATGTAGTTAGTTTCTTGAACAAACACGTTACAAACAAAGTACCCCCAAAAGGAAATCGGCTGAGAGCAAGTCAAAATCGCATCATAGTGCAAGGCTTAATATTTGAAATAAGCTATTGTTATTGCCGGTACTTCACTTGGTAGTTCATATTTGTTATTTGTAAACCTGAGATCAGTCTGTTCTTTTCATATCAAATAATGTCTAATAAGGACAGACTGTTGTGAAGTTTACAAAATACAGCAAATACGAATGGCCAAGTGAGGCCCCGCATAAGGTCTTAAATAAATCTTTCCAACATATTGATTTGTTTTCTATTTAGATTGCTTATTCCGTACCGTAGCCGTACCCGTACCCTACGACCAGAGTGCACTCAGATTCAGATTCAGACTCAGAAAACAAGCGCGAGAAATATACAGTGTCGTTTAAGCAGGTTGCCAGCTGCCACTATGGCCACCCTGCTTTAACTACACTGTTTATTACTCGCACTTGTTTTCTGAGCCTGAATCTGAATCTGAGTGCACTCTGGCCGTACCCAAACACTCCAAGAAACAATAGAATGCGTCACACCGATGCGACATTCTAATGTAAAAAAAAGAAGATTAAGATTTGTATCTATGTATACGACTGAAGGGCTTGTATCCATGGTCATGAATAAATTATAAAAAAAATGCTTTCTTTTCTTTGTTTTGTTTTTTATTTATAATTCGATTTTGTTCAACGTGTACTTCATTAAATTTAAGTTCGTAGTCAATTCATAAATACAAATCTAGTAATTGCACAAGTTTTTTTAATATTACTATAGGTGAGTTTGTTTTTCTAAAAAAATACCAATGATAACATTCTAAGGAATTCTGATAACGTATTAGGGTGCGGCCAGAGTGCACTCAGATTCAGAGTCAGATTCAGATTCTGAAAACAAGCGCGAGAAATAAACAGTGTAGTCTAAGCAGGTTGCCTGCTTTTTCTCGCGCTTTGTTTTCTGAGTCCGAATCTGAATCTGAATCAGGAGTGCAATCTGGCCGTACCCTTCGACTACACTGTTTATTTCTCGCGCTTGTTTTCGAAATCTGAATCTGAGTGCACTCTGGCCGCACCCTTAGGGTGCGGCCAGAGTGCACTCAGATTCAGATTCAGATTCAGATTTCGAAAACAAGCGCGAGAAATAAACAGTGTAGTCTAAGCAGGTTGCTTGATTTTTCTCGCGCTTTGTTTTCTGAGTCTGAATCTGAATCAGGAGTGCAATCTGGCCGTACCCTTCGACTACACTGTTTATTTCTCGCGCTTGTTTTCAGAATCTGAATCTGACTCTGAATCTGAGTGCACTCTGGCCGCACCCTTACACTACACACCACACAATCAGAGTGACTCAAGCTCTAAAATTGGATAATATACTGATACACACTGTACTTCCTGGGCCCAATAGTAAAAACACAGTTTTGTTGGATGCAACAAGGTTTCTGTTAACCACATTCTTAAAAAAAGTGAACTCACTTAAGCCCTGGTAATATTTTAGGAAAAGAATATTGTTTTTTTCTTTTCTTAGTAAATAGCTAACACGATTTTGATAATTTACATTTTTTAATAAAATTGTGTATTATTAAAAGCTTTTAGTTGTGTATGATAATAATAATGACTAGTAAATAAATAGTAATTTTCTTTTCATTTACCTACTTTCTTCATTAGGTTGTTCATGTAACTTAATAACTTTAATGCAGAACCGACTTTGACAACCCCGAAACGCCGTGGTCTTGGTCTGCCCTACCCTACCCTAGTGTTTTTCAAAGCGGAGAGGGAGCAGCCCTCGCCCGCTTGCTAGAGTGGGTCTGTCTAGTAGAAAGAGAAAGAACATGAGAGACGGCTAGCCTTTCTCTCTCTAATCGCGAATGCGCATTGGATGAAAAACCTACGGATGAATACCGACCAATCACACGACTGCGCAGCGTCACAAGAGAGCCTTCTCTCATCTTCTTTCTCTTTCTACTAGACGGACACTTCTACTTGTAGTAGAGTACATGTCTCCCCTACTCTATTCTTCTTATACCTCTATCTATGTGTAGCAAAGCCACAGGCACTCTCGCGCGACGATTAAAAGTAAATAAATATTTAAGGGGAGCTCCCAAACAACAGACGTGTTTTTGACGTTTTTTGCTCGATATTATAATGTAGTGTCTATCGTTGTATAGATAATAGCATGAAACGTTAAGCGCGTGTCCGACTCGTACCTGGCTGGTTTTATATTCGACGCCATTTTGTTTCGTGTTTTCACATCAAAGTTGGCTTGAAAAGTTGAACGCGGTCCAAGTCGACTTTGATTGGACGGAAACATTATAGTGCCCTATGATCACTGTTTTACGCGATCAAAGTTGTTATCAAACAAAGCTGAATTGTCAAAGCAGACTTTGAGCCTGTCATTACGGCTTTAACCAGTTCAAGGGCTGCCCAGGATGGGGGAGCCCTGTCCACTAAAACCCCTGGAATGTTCTTCTCCTTGCTTGCGCGCGGTGGCCCTTATTGGGAATCAACCACATTGCTACTGGCGGGCCTAGCTTTAAGCAAGGCCACCTCACGGTTGGGGGATTCCCAGGCACATAATGCTGGGATAAGACGTTTAATCTTTGCAGGACTATTCCCGCGGTCCATACCTCAGGCAGGTATTTGTTACTATTTCCATTGCCAAAAAAATTGTCAAGCTCTTTCGCGTGTAAATAATCCCAGCAATCTATATTTAACGTTCCACACGATTTTACAACTAATATTGTTAGAAAAGCTTGAGCTCTTCCCTTCATCATGTAAATCATGTCACCTAACCACCCGACTAGAGATGGGCAGGTGTAAGTAAATATGGAACTATGGGAGGTTAATTTTAGTCCCCAATATTAACAATTAAACAAAACATTTTTTTAAATTAAATTCACAGTCGTACTTAAGTGGGTACTCATTTAATATTATTTTCACTCCTCATCACAGCTAGTATTACGACCACAATAAAAAAAATCTATATCAAGCTTGTATTTGATTGTTAAATATAATTGATAATTCTTGTTGCTAAAATAATTTCTTCCGTAGTACGTTTGTTCTGATTATCGTAATGACTTTCATCTTCACTAGATTGGTTTTCTTCAGATTGTTCAATGTTTTGAACATGATCTGGAGTCATCCTATCTTTAAGAGATTCACTATCTTCTGATCCCACAATTTGATTGTACTCGTGGAGCAAATCCCAGTTATAAGACGCGAAAGCCAGTTTAGCTGCCTCTTCGGTTGTTAAACGGTTTCGCTTCTTAGAATGTATGTGTCCATGCTTACTGAAAGATCGCTCTGTGGCTGCAGATGTGCACGGGGCGGTCAAAATGCGTACTGCTATTCTGCTGAGGTTTTTAGACGAGCAAAGACCCTTCCACCATGTTACAGGACTTATATTTTCAACTTGTACCCATATAAAGCGCTTCCTCCAAAATCCATCCCTGGCTTTGTAATTGGCTAAATCTGTGACTACATCAGAATTGTCATTTTGCGCCATTATTTCAATGAATCCCATTGCTGCCAGATCTTCATTCTCGTTTAATGCCATTCCTTGTGTTTTTGGGTCTTAAAGATAGGCCGCTAAATGTATAGGTTTTATACAATCTTTTTTTCTTTTATCAACTGATTCCAAAATTGCTTATTTGTCCTCAATACTTATGATTGTTATGTTGGGTAAAATGAACTCCAGTTTTGACTTCACGTCTTTGAATATAGGAAAGACATAGTGAATATTACATTTGTTTGCCTCAAAAATAAAAAGAGGCTCGGTGACTGGTTCCAAAATAACTATGCAATCTTCTAACATACTCCAGCAATTGTCATCTAGAAGAGTAGATTTAGTTTCTGAAGGAAGCACTGTGGCTTGGTGAATAGCCAGGGACAGTAGGGCTGCTTTTGTTTTGCTTATACATTTTAAGGAGGCTACATGGCTACCCCAACGTGTTTTACGGCCAATTTTAAGGTCTCTCCTGTTTTCTTTTCTTTAATAATTTTATTTAGTAATGAGTTTGAAAGCTGGTTTTTTTATTGTTTTTACAACATCGGTAGCTAATGCAATAAATCCCTTGATAACTTCACATTTAATAATGTCGTGAGTTAGCAAGTTCAATGTATGAGCTGCACAATTAAGAGGCACTATTTGTGGAATATCATTTTTTACTAATTCGAAAGCTTTTTGGAGATTTCTGGCATTATCCCCAATCAAAGCTACAAATTTTGTTTCACCGTGAGCACGCATTACTTTTATAATTTCTTCGCTTAGGTACAAACTGGTATACCTGATATCTTCTGTGGATAAACTTTTTACAAAATATGGTTCAGGATTTGAAATAATAAAATTTATCACTCCTTCGTTATTGACATTGGTCCACCCGTCAATGCAAATAACTTGTTGTTTGTAAACATTCAGTCACCTCTTTTTTAATTTCCGTGCACACACTTTATCCAGAAGCGTAGTTGATAAGATCTTACGTGATGGTAACTTAAATAATGGTTGCAGATCTTTAAAAAAATCTATCCATAATGGATGTTTTACCAGGCTCAAATGTGATCCAGAAATGAATACTGCCTTTGGTAATTTTATTATCAGCCTATCGATATCTTCCTCTTCTGTGGATTGCCTTTGTGATGACGACGAGGGCTGATTCAAAGTATGCTTACTATTTTCTGAATCCAGCGAACCAATAGGAAGCGATGGCTGCGAAGATGTCGTCATTATAATGGAACTGTTAGTGTTATTGATGATATTTACATCAGTTTGACTTTTCAGCTCATTTTTAACAACAGCAGGACACTTCTCACATTTACAAATACAAATTCTTTATTTTACTTCTCACATTTGAATAAATAACCTCCCATTTTGTTGACGTTTGCTATTTTATATTTATGATCACAATGCTTCCAAGTCACCGATTTATCAGGACCCACACGATAGTGTTTCCAAATGTCATCTCGTTTCTTTCTGTCCTTTCCCATTATCTAAACAAAAAATAATATTTTATAGGTATATAATAAGAACATAACACGTTTAACGCTATACAAAGGAGGATGGGCATTCTGGGTCCCGAGCCAATAGCAATGACCTTAGTGTCGTTGGATAGGTATTATAAAGACAAACAATATTTACTATGACGACTTGACTAAAATAGTTGTCTTTTCGGAGATATTCTGATATAAAATTGACAGATTCCATAGAAAACAAAACATTATTTATTACTAGCTTTTGCCCGCGACTTCATCCGCGTTATCGTCGTTTTTCGTAAAAAAGTAGCATATGTCCTTCCTCAGGGTTCCGTGGTTTTGATGTGACAGACAGATTAACTTTCGTATTTTAGTAGGGAAATATAATACTGTTAAAAATATCGCAATATGGAACCGCAGAATATTATTATTATCACTGTGCCCCGAGACCATCAGCGTGTAACTCCTTGTATGTTATTATGTTAATGTATTGGTAATATTGTTTAGATCGCTTTCACATGAGTCTTAAGTACATAAAGAATGAAAATACTTCAGCGCAAAGCTTCCGGGTAGACTACGTTGAAATTTGACCCGTCCGGAACGTGAAAATAAAAAATTCTAGGACTGCTAACCCGGGAAAGACCGACATAACTGACCATGTGAAAAACAACTGACACCGAGATCTACTGGTCTGAAAGGTCTGCCCTTGAGCCTTATTTATTGTCATTGCTTAACACACCGATACTGGGAATTGCGTTCTTTTAAATTGGAATGGAAAATTATTTGGTATTATGGGAATTCTGGGAATAAAGATGGTTTCTCCTGCACCGTAACCTATTAAAATTTGAGCCTCGATTACATTTTGTTGCAACTGGGTTACTTTAAGCCGAGTTCCATTGCAAATTTGTGGTAGAATAATCGGAATGCCAATTTTTAAACAAATTTCATGAGAAGGAAGTACGGGCATATTTAAAGAATTTAAAAATTCTATCGGGTAATTAGTGGCTTCTTGTACATCGGCCATTCTATTTATTGAACTATAAACTTTGATTTCCCCCTGGATATTCGACAGTATTTTATTATTAATCTCAGATGCCTGGTCATTGCGAGGAGTTAAAATGGACCTTTCGCATAGCCAAGAATTGTTCTTATTTAATATATTTGTTACGTCACCGTAAACTGACGATGTAAGATGTTGTTGGGATTGCACTATACAACATAACTCAGGCGTCAGAATAAGTTTTCCTTGGTGTAGCAGTGGATAGGTATCTTTGGTGAAGGTATTTTCTTTAATAATATATCAGAAAATTCACGATCATCCGGGTTATCTACAGTTCTCACTCGCATGTTTATAGTCAAATGCACCGATTGTATATCACGCCACAAATAAGAGCTTTTCAGGCAAGCCCTAACCTCAGCAGCTCGGGTTCCCCGTGGTATTACCGTTAAGGTTTGTCGGAAATCACCACAAAATAAAACTGTGATACCGCCCATGGGTCGATCATTTTGTCTTATATCTCTTAAAGTTCTGTCTACCGCTTCTACTGCTTGTACTGGGCCATCGTACATTCATCCTATATGATTAAATTACACTTTGAACGAATATTTTTAACGAATACTTTAGCTACCTTACACATAAAATCTAAGTGACTATTTGAACTAAAATATTCTTATAGAATTATAACCAGAAATATATACAACTCACAACAAAAAAGAAATGAAAATAAAGCTGAAACGCCTGTGCAATACTATCTACCTATACCTCCTTCACTTAAAAATAAATACTTATAACTACTTTAATTAATAAAAGTACGCTTAATAATTTTTAATTTGAACGAATATTTAAACACTACCAAAACAACTAATACCTGTTTTACAAAATAACAACAAAAGTAATTCAAATAAACTATTTAAAGACTAAAAGTCGCGCTGATAAGCACGGTTTCGGTCTCCCAGGCGGGGGAGCAGATGAGAAATCCTCATGGATACCCTACAGCCGGCTGCAAGGTTATGTCAGACTCGTACTGACTAAAAAACACCCGTAGGGGCTGCCTCTGGCCGGGAAGGCCTCTAAGGCTTCATCGGAATCGATCGTCCCCCAGGGGGGGGGGGGGGGGGGGGGAGCGGACCTTTGATACCCTACCGCTGCCGCGACCCGTGTCGAACGCTGCAACCATTACACAAAAATAATCCTTATAGCATGATTCAGTATTCACGTGCGACGGCGCGATGGCTTATTTCATGTATAAGTTTGGTGTTTCTATACCGAGTATTATAAACGTAAGAGTAAACAAATATGATCAGAATGCTCCGAACTGCTAAGCTATCGGGAGTTACACGTGTTATTGTGAGTCAACCATAAAAGATAGACATATGCTGTTGCGGGATATTTTTTAGACAATTTTATGTAGAATATTTCCGTCATACATAATTTCTATGTAACTTTAATCATTAAGGCTGCACACGCGACGGAAGCTTAAAAAATGGAGTAACTTCTCCCGTTTTCCCAACATTTCCCTTCACTACTCTGCTCCTACTAATTGTAGCGTGATGAAAAGTATACTATAACCTGCCCAGGAGTATGAAGAATAATTGTACCAAGTTTCGTTAAAATCCGTCGAGTAGTTTTTGTTTCTATAAGGAACATACACACAGACAGACAGACAAAAATTTTACTGATTGCATTTTTGGCATCAGTATCGATCACTAATCACCCCCTGATAGTTATTTTAAAAATATATTTCATGTACAGAATTGACATCTCTACAGATTTATTATAAGTATATAGATAAGCACGGTTTCTCAATATCAATTATTTTCTGTCAATAAGGTCGAACGCTCTGAACGCATCGACAGCCAAATATTGAATGAAGCTCGCTTTCTTTTTTTTTTTGTTTCTTCCCAGGCGGGGGAGGGGGTGTGAAATCCTCATGGATACCCTACAGCCGGCTGTAGAGTTATGTCAGACTCTTACTGACTAAAACACACCCGTGGGGGGTGCCTATGGCCTTAGGGGCCTTACAGGCTTCATCTGATGCGATCAACCCCTGAGAAGGGGATGATGCAGCGCTGCCTAAGTAAATACTACTGCTAGTGCGCTTAGAGGACGGATGCACCCTGATGTGCATCCGTATCGGTTTGGGACTGAGTGGCTGAAGGTCTCTCAGGATCGGGGGGGGCGGGGAAGCTCGCTTTCGGACCTCCCGCCTTTTTATACCTTACCGCGCCGCCACGACCCGTGTCGAGCGCGGCAGCCGTTACACAAAAATAATCCTTAAAGCATGATTCAGTATTCACGTGCGACGGCGCGATGGCTTATTTCATGTATAAGTTTGGTGTTTCTATACCGATTTCTATGATTCTTTTTTTATTGAATAGGTAATAATGTTAACTTTTTTAAATTAGGGATGAGTGAGAGTATTATAAACGTAAGAGTAAACAAATATAATCAGAATGCTCCGAACTGCTAAGCTATCAGGAGTTACACGTGTTATTGTGAGTCAACCATAAAAGATAGATATATGCTGTTGCGGGATATTTTTTAGACAATTTTATGTAGAATATTTCCGTCATACATGATTTCTATGTAACTTTAACCATTAAGGCTCCACACGCGACGGAAGCTTAAAAAATGGAGTAACTTCTCCCGTTTTCCCAACATTTCTCTTCACTACTCTGCTCCTATTGATTGTAGCGTGATGAAAAGTATACTATAACCTGCCCAGGAGTATGAAGAATAATTGTACCAAGTTTCGTTAAAATCCGTCGAGTAGTTTTTGTTTCTATAAGGAACAAACACACAGACAGACAGACAGACAGACAAAAATTTTACTGATTGCATTTTTGGCATCAGTATCGATCACTTATCACCCCCTGATAGTTATTTTGAAAATATATTTCATGTACAGAATTGACCTCTCTACAGATTTATTATAAGTATAGATTTTACAGATTTCTACTCCTTTAATAAATGTCTTATAGAACGTATGTGTTGTATTACCATACAATATGATATGATATAAAAAATTTTAAAAGTGCTAGTCCCAGTCAAAGTTTTCAGTGGATATCAAAGTCCTTGACGCTTGTTAATTCAATCCCGAGGTTTAATTCAAATTCAAAGCAAAATAAATATTAAAAATAACATGTACATCCAGTTACTCCAGACTTAATTAATGTATTATTTAAAGTGCTAAAGAAATACGATTCTATTTAATGGATACTTATGCAAGCAAAGTGTACATTTTAAACGAAAAAGTTATGTCTACAATATAATATTGTACTAATAATTAAAATGACTTACCTTCTTATAAAGTAAATTATGCACTAAACATCACACAATATCGTTGAATAAAACTTTATTAACGTCGCAAAATTATGGCTTAGACGTTAGACACAAGAGAACAGTAACCAAACGTGGCGCGTGCACAACAAAATGGCGCAGATGTTGAAGGAGACGGCAAACCAAGATAGTGCAACTGCATGGTAAATAATGTTTGTCGTTGACTGAACTTTTGACGTGACAATAGATGTCTGTGTCAGTGAAAATTTTAATTACAAGTGGTTATGGGTCGTCTGTAATTTTATTAAAATATGGAAACTCTAACTTTCAATTACAAGATCGCTCCTCTTGTAGGAAAAGCGAACTGGGACACCTGGAAATATAAGATGCTGATCATTCTGAAAGGCATCCCACATGCCCTAGATGTATTAGAAGGCAGACTCACGTCATCGGTTGACAAAAATGGAAGTGAAGCTACCGGGTCCGCAGCTACGGATTTTTCCAAAGCCGACTCAAGTGCTCTTTTCGTTATCACCAATAATATGACGGAAGAAATGCTCAGAAAGGTTATGAGATACACAACCGCACAAGATATTTGGCTTGAGTTACACAGGATGTTCGACGGAACAAACGAGGATCGAACCTTTCAACTTTGTATGAGTTTCTTCGGTATGAAAAGAGATAAAGCTGATGACGCAGCTACTCATCTATCAAAGCTGAAGAATATATGGATTTCTCTCAACAAAGAGCTGGGTGATGGCAAGAAGTTACCAGATCTACTTCTCATATGCAAAACACTCGACACTTTAGGAGAAGAATATAGCTCATTCAAAAGTGGATGGCTAATGTGCCCGACGTCCGAACGAACCGTGGAAAACTTAACCAATCGCCTGTGTGTTTTCGAAAGTAACTTGATGGTGTCCACCGAGCCACCGGAGCAAGAAGCTTTACCAGCGATGAACACACATAGTGGGACAAACAAGAAGCGAAATAACCGCAAATGGTGCAAATACTGCTCGACCAAAGGCCATTGCGTCAAGGCCTGTCCTAAGTGGATTCAGGATGGAAAACCCCCGAAAAGCAGTAACCCACCTTCCTCTTCGTCGTTCCGCAAGCAAGAGTCTCAAGTTACGGAAGTCCTGACATCAGAACATGGTGAAGTATTTGTGAATACACCAGATACAGTGAACTGGTTTGTTGATAACGGTGCGACCTGCCACGTTACCAATCGCAGCGATCTATTCCAGACCTTCCAACCATTCGACGAAACGCACATGATCTCCACAGCTAATGGAAATGCACTGCAAGCCAAAGGCAAAGGAAACATCAGCCTCAAATCGAAGGTACGAGGAAAAGTCTACGAAATCACCCTGTCGGACGTGTGGTACGTGCCACAAATCACAAAGAACCTCTTCTCTGTCCTCGCTGCTCATGACTGCAACTTAACAACGAAGTTCGAGTCGACACCAACGCGCTGCTCCATGTCGATGCGTGGTATAGTGAAGCTGATAGGTGTACGCAGCATCAGCGGTGGCTTATACAAGCTGAACGTAGAAAGTGTGATACCCAAAAGAAATTTGGAAGTATATCTTACCCTTACACGGACTCAACTGTATCATGAACGTTTTGTTCACCAAAACAAACGTCATGTTCGACAATTTGTGAAAAAGGAGTTGGGAATAAATCTTCCTCAAGATGAAACGGTTTGTGAGAGCTGCATACTGGGCAAATCCCATCGTCTGAAGTTTGGCACGCGACCTCGAGCCTCAAGACCAGGAGAGCTCGTACACAGCGACGTATGTGGACCGTTCCCCAATTCATTCACAAACTTGCGATACTTCGTGCTGTTTAAAGATGACTTCACTGGCTATCGATATGGTACTTCCTGAAAGCCAAATCGGAAGTAAAACAAAAGTTGAAAGATTTCATCGCCGAAGCACGAAACTCTGGACGTCCGATCGAAATGCTTCTGAGCGATAATGGCGGCGAATTTGATAATCAAGATGTGCGCGAGGTCCTTGCCACTCATGGAATGAAACAGCGCTTAACAATGCCATACACCCCAGAACAAAATGGATGCGAAGAGAGAGACAACAGGACCCTGGTTGAGGCCGCCAGGACTGTCATGCAAAGCGGAGCTTTCGAGCAGAAGCTATGGGCTGAGTTAGTCAATGCGGCTGCCTACGTTCTCAACCGAACTGGACCATCTCGAGTGGAGAACAAAGCACCCTATGAACTATGGCATGGAAAGAAACCGAAGATAACACATTTACGAATCTTGGGCTGCACAGCCTACGTCCATGTCCCCAAGCAGAAACGAAAGAAGCTTTCCCCTAAAGCCCTAAAAGGAAGACTAGTCGGATACGATTTAGATGATGGCTATCGTATTTGGTGCGATGACAACAAATTGATGAGATCGCGAGACGTAATCTTCGACGAGAAACCGCTTGACCGAACTCAATGCGACCAAGTTGTACCTACGACAACGAAAAAGGAAACACCGTTCAACGAATTCGAGTTGAAAGTAACCTTTAATGAAGAGCGCAAAGATGTTCATCAAGATCCAATCTCGAACCCAAACCATCAAAATAAGCAATCAGAAACTGATGTGCAGAATCAAGGATGTGCACCACAACTGCAGGAAGACAGATACTCTTATCCTGACCGGGATATTCACTCCGCTGGTGAAGAGTCCAGACCATCTAGCCCCATCGCTGGTGTACAATCTAGACCACCCAGCCCCGATGATGGTGAACAGTCAAGACCAACGACACCCAATGTAACGCGGTACGATACAAATCTAGAAGATTCATCTGATTCCGAAGATGACTCACCGGAACTGAGATATAATCTACGAGATAGAAGCACCATTCGTCACCCACAGAGATACAGAGACTGTTATGCACTTTCCGACGACGAAGCTGAACCCACTACGTTCAAGGAGGCTATGAAGAGCCCGTATAAAGACGAGTGGATAAAAGCAATGCTAATAGAGATAGATTCTTTGAAAGAGAACAATACGTGGTCGCTTCAAGAATTACCTCAAGGCAGAAAGGCCATACCTTGCAAATGGATTTTCAAGATAAAGCGAAACCCGGATGGCTCAATAGAGAAATACAAAGCACGTTTGGTTGCAAAAGGATTCAAACAACGCAAAGGAGTTGACTACCAGGAAACCTACAGTCCTGTAGCCAGATTTGCAACCATTCGCTCTTTACTAAGCGTTGCTGCTAGTGAGAAGATGTACCTATCCCAATTCGACGTCACTACAGCGTTCCTATACGGTGAACTGGAAGAGGAGCTTTACATGCAGCAACCCGAGGGGTTTCACGATGGCTCTACTCGTGTATGTCATCTGAACCGAAGTTTATACGGCCTGAAGTAGGGCTGCCATCTCTAAAATGTGGCAACCAGGACAAGACGCGTGATAACCCCGGATTTTGGAGCCAAAAACCCGGACAGACCAATAAAAAAGCAGTTAAAAATGTCACAAATGATAATAATAAATTTTTCCAACACTCACACCAATTAGCCTAGCCCCAAAGGAGGCACTGTAAGGCTTGTGTTATGGGATGCTAGGGTAACGGATAGAATACATATACTATACATATATACGTATATTTATACAGGGTGGTGGGCAGCAGTGACCACTTATTATCAGGTGGATAGCTAGCTCTTTTGCCTACATTAACATAAAAAAGACGACATCCGTGGCCGAGTGGTTTGTACGCCGGGTTTCATGGTGTCACCGACTCGAGAGGTCCCGGGTTCGAATCCCGGCAGATGTTTGTGTGATGAATACGAGCATTTGAACTCCAGTCATGGATGTTTAAGTATATACAGGGTGGTCTAACTAGCTAGTGACGTCAACCATTTTTTTTAGATTCCTCGCACCTTGGGTATCCAAAAATACCCCATGTATGTTCCGCGACTTTTCTTAGATTTCGAGTTATAATTTTTTTTGTGTATTTTTAATGATTTCTGCCAGCTTTCAAAAATTCTTATCTTTTTTCGTAGTAGGTATTTTGCAGTCTTTTTTGTGACATAATTGTCTTGAATGTTGTTTTAATAAAAAAATAACTCAGCTTCCTGCAATTACTTAAAGTTACTCAAAATAGGCTTGAAAGTTGGAACTTTAGTTTTTAGTAGGATTTACTCAAACATTCAACTTCAATTTAGAAGTACAAAAAGGAGTTTCCATAGGTTCTCGCTAAAATTAAAAACTCCGCATGCTTCTAACCTACCAAAAATCATTAAAAAAAATGTACATAATCACCCTATTTTTGTTGTAATTGGCTTTTGAAGGCGGATAGGATAAAAATCATTGAAATACGATTAAAGCATTAGACATTATTTTATCTTCTTTTTTCATTGTTATGGTAAATTAAACCTAAAAATGTAATTTCAAATTAAATTTTATTGAAAGGACAATGGCGAACTCCCATAGAAATTTTTGTTGAAATTTTTTTTGCGTCTATAACTGAATTACATCTTAAATTATAGAGTTTAGATTCTCGATTTGATTCGTCTTATTTCTATTATTATAGGAAGTCTGGATTTATAGATATTCTACTTTGAAGTTTTGGAGGTTATGTCATACTAAGTAATACAAAAACGATTATAAGTGTGTTCTTATATCAAAATAAAAAAAAACGTGAATGGCACTATAAAAGTATAAGGTTCCCGTACATTAGTGACGAAAAAAAATGATTTTTATAATGTATCATCAGTGGACGTAGGTACTTATTGACCAACCGCGTCAAAATACTTAATATGTAATACTAAACAAACTAGGGTTATTTAGTTCGAATACAATGTCTGTGCTGTAAGAAGTACTTAACAATTTGAAAATGACCACAGCAATAATAAAGTATTTATACTACTATAAAGGATTTCTAATAGTGTACTGATGGGATATTAATTAAATATGAAACACTTTTCTATATATTTTTTATTCCATATCTTTGATCACAATATCGTAGATAGTAGATACAATGAAATAAAATACACAGTATGGGACGGAATCGTGTCCAAAATCCACAGCAAGAAATCGTCCGAAATATCAGATTCGGAAGTCTTAGGCAAGCACTACTCAACAGTCGCAGGGAAGATTTCGAGAGTCCAAATGCAG